CTCTAACCCAACATTTAGGGAAAAAATGTGTTGGTTTTTCTGAAATTGTATATGGGAATAGTTTATTAAGACTCTGTCTCTAAACAACAGGGGTACTTTTCTAAAGTTGAGTTGGTTCAAATTCAAAATCAAACTGACCCATAAAAAGTTTGGAAACATCATGTTGAGCCTCTAAAAGTTCCCAACTAATGTCAGTTCAATTGCTGGATGATAATACTAATCCCCACCAGGTGGTTTCTCAGATCAATATCAGTATTTGGGCAACTGCTCACCTACCCCTCCCCTAACCCAACATTAACCCTAACTTGTCATCAATTGACTGTTGTTGGGTTAGGGGAGGGGTAGGTGAGCAGTTGCTCTTACTCTGAAAATAAACAGAATGCCTACCAGCAGTTAACAGCATGTTGATACAATCTGTTAAGCCTTCCTGGGAAGCAATAAACAATGGCGATGCCTTATCTACAGTCAATAAACTGATATCTGCCCCCTCTTTTAGTAGTAGCTTTAAGCAAGTCTTATGTCCATATTGAGTGGCAGTGAACAAAGGTGTGGCACCATCACTGTTTTGTATGTTAATGTCTGCCGCAAATGAGAGAAGTATTTCAATGAAGTCTTCATGACCAGCAAATGCTGCTTCATGTAAAGCACTCCATCCTCCAACATCCTGACTGTTTACATCTAAACTGCATTCCAAGAAAATCTGAGAAGAACCAAAATGAGAAAACAAAGAGGTTACAGATTAATAAATTCATGAATACCATCCTTACCAAAAATGTTAGAGGCAGTATGGTAATTTCACTCACAATATCAAGTATGAAAGGGTTTTAAAAAAGTAGCTTGTTCCAGGCATTCAGCAATTTAATTATGGTAATTGCACTGAGTGGAGTGCAGTTTGGACTGAAATAAAACACATTATTTCAAAATCAAACAGGCATGCAAGGCGAGTTTGATTTGAAGTCAAAAGTATGATTTTAGACCAAAATTTCATGACACAAAGTTAAATTTCCATTCTATTAGATCTATTTTAAAATAAAAAATGTAGCCCCTTAATAAAAAAAAACTTTTTCAGTCTATACAGGTATTTTCGTGATTTGAAGTATATTGAGCTTGTTTGTAAAAAGTTGTAAAAGTTGTCTCTTACTTTCCTGCAATTTGATTGACTTCTCTCAACAAGCCTTGAAGTTTGATTGGTCATTGTGTTAAAGTAAACTGTCACATTGGCTGGGAAGACGACGCAATTTGGAGCATATAATGTTGTGATTTGTCAGTAAATCACTACGGTGAGAGCCAATCAAATTGCAAGGATTTCAAAATGGATCTAATCAATCTGTGGATGGTCTGACAGTAACAGCTGAGTGGAAAATGTGGGAGGTGTAAGTAGGGTTCCATAAATGAAATTATGCAACCCGTTCCAAACATTCATCACATTTTCACTCCTTCCCTTCTTTCATGCCATTTACTATAGTGCCTCTATTTATTTACTGAACCTCTGGAACAAGCTAGTAATAGACCATTGATCTTTGTTTGTGTCTCTCTTTAGAGATAGGAAGATGGCACATAGGTCCAGCCTAGAATGCTAGCTAGGACTCAGTGGAACAATGACATTTGCTTTAAACCTCACTGAATTTTTGTCTCATTTTGTTAAACTTTTCCACAAGGGTAATCATTTGATGAGATCTCTAAGAATTCTTACAACCTATTTAGCAAACTATCTGTAACAGATTGAAGTCTGATAAACACTAGAGGTGAACTGCAATGGATCAGCATCCCATTTACAGTCTGTAGGGGAGGAGTAGCAATACCCTTAGTTGCTTCATGCTATGTAGACACAGAGAAGTTCTACCATCTTGTGGGTCCCTTAGCTTAGGTTCAGGCTTAACTTTACCATAATTACATCGTCTGTCCCCTGGTGAATCATTACCTCCTCACTCATTTGAAAGGGATTTAAATATTCTTTTTGTGTTGCTACCAGCATGTATCATGTAAAATTTGATGTCAGTCAGACGAGTAATCATGCCATACATCAGTCACACTTGTATGATAGACAAGTTATTACACTGGCCTGAAAACATTACAACACAAACCTTTAAACACTCTAAACTCCCACTTTTCACAGAGGCCACCAACAAGTTTACTTCTTCATCATTCATGACATTCACATCAGCTCCAAATTCCATTAGTGTCTTGATGCATTCAACATGGCCATTCAATGCTGCTAAGAAGAGAGGTGTTTCACCACCGTATGCTCGAGAATCAAGAAGATCCTCATTCTTGTGTTCCAGCAGGCTTCGTAGACAACCAGAGTGTCCTGCAGCAGCCGCCTCATGAAGAGGAAACCAACCACGATTATCAGAAACATCACAAGGAGATCCTGAAATAAACACAAAAAGTATTGTTTATCTCCTTTATTGACAATAAGTTATGGAGAAGTGGCTTTCCTACAATCATGTCTCTGGTCATTTTGAATAGTGTATTTCAATGAGCACCCACCCCTGAATAACCACCCACCCTTCAGAAACAATGTTGAACAAGCACCCCTCTAATACAAACACCCCCCTCCTCCTTCACTTTCTTAAATAGTAGGGAAATGAGGAAACCCTGTTTCTATTGCCACTTTATTTACAATTTTTTTAAGCATAAACTACAATAGAATTGTCAGTACAGGAGAATAGTTTCTTTTCCATGTGCTTGCAGAGGTCCTCTATGTGCCTTATCTGCTGTGCTAACTTAATAAGCATCCCTCCTTGTTTAAGTGGCCTCCTTTCAATAACTTTTGAATAACCCCCAGGTGCCCAATCAAGGAAATACCGTCTATAACCTAGTTATGTGATAACTCTAATTTCACTGTAATTTATTTATAACTAGCATCATTTTTAAAGATGAATTTATATTGTGTGTTGCTTATCATACTGCTTAAATTAATATAAAACAGAGAAGAAGTCAAAACACAACTCCAGGCTCATAAAATAGTTACCAGAAAGAAATTTCATTTTTTGTAAAAGAGGAAGACAGCAGTTATTTTCGAAGGTCCACACAGTTATGCAAAGCTTAAAACAGGGACAGGGGTATGTAGCTTCTTACCTCAAAAAGTGACACAACATTTTTAAATTATTGTTCTACGAAAATACCTCTCTTATTTTGACATAACTGAAGACTCACTGTACAACCACCTTTAATCCTTTAACTCCCAGATCAAATTTGTTATTCTCCCTACTGTCAACCATTGTAACAATTCTTAGAATATTAGTTCAGAGAATTTAGTATTGGATCAACTAATTGTCCCCAAATTGATAGTTCTCTTTATTCTCATCACCCATCTGGTTGATTTTGTATTGACATTGTTAGGAGAAATTCTGTCCTGGTCACTCATGGGATTTAAAGGGTAAACATCAATTTTGATTAAAAATATACACTGAAAATTTTGAAACATTGCTTTGTCTAGGTATAGATCTACTGATATCTGTAGCTTGACTGATTGGTTGAGACATCCAGCTACCTTACAAAACGAGATGGGATTAAATTACTCATGAAAATTTAACGCCATTGAAGATATATCTTAACTTCTTGTATGACAGTCAAGTTTTCGAGGTTTCCCAGTTCATAGTTACATTTAGACTTGTGCAATTAGAGACATGAAAGAAAACTGAAGGACCAAAATAGACGAGGAGTATCAAGCGATAAGACTCCCCTGCTTGTGATTGTGAGCGAAATGCAACAGCTGTCCACTTGAATATGTACAGATATGTATCATGCAATAACTCGAATGGTATAGAATGCAATGACTCACCATCGGCAATAAGACGTATTAACCTTTCTTCGTCACCTTCTCGAGCAGCTAATCCAACATTTGAGACTGTAAGATCGTCGGCCCGATCGAAAAACTGTAATCCATTGCGAACATTTTCCTGATCTTGTTGCATTCCCAGCTCAACGGCCATTTTGAAAATGTTAGCCTATTGATCTAACGTAGAATTTGATTGGTTTAGCTGTTCGATAATTTACTGAATTCTCCATCCACCAATCACAACTCGTTTCCTATTTCTCTGTTGGAAAAGTAGTATTGGCGTTCGGACTGAAGGAAGCATGGTCTGTTGGAGTGAAATTTGAAATTCTGAATCAAAGTTTCTGCAACAGCAATATTTGCTTTGCTCGCTGATCTTGTTGAATGTTGTAGGACTGACTTTTCATTTTTGTAGGAAGAATGGAGTAAATTAAAGCTCTTTTGATATTATAGTTCACTTGAGCTACAATGCAGGTCAAAAGTCACGGGACACTTAGCATGATATTGCTAAAATCTAATATTCTCGCCTCCCCCCAAACAACGTTGAATTTTGTGCGCTTTGTTAACTTTACTTAGATATGGCGATTGCTCAGTTTTACCAAAATTATAAGAGGGGTGAGGGGAGATTTTGTTTCAAAAACTGTGCATTAAAGGGTTTAACTATGATCCATCAGAAAAGGAGAGGAAGCTTACCGTGGGTAATTATCCAGAGCATAAAACTAATTTTCGCTATATCTTTTACTGATCCCTCTTTGTTCCTTTTCTGCTCACAGTTTCGCTCATTCAGTTCCTGCAATGTGCAATCTGCTTCTTCCACATTCGATTCTACTTTACTTTCAATGAAGAATAAAACGCCCGTGGGCTCGAAAAGTGCGGGCTTGGTCGCTTGTGTCGCAGCCACGCCAATGAGACCTTGCTCGCAGCCTGAAAAATTGCATTTTGCTGCTCCAAGTACACAATCAAAAGTAATGTGTGCAGTTAGCAAGTCTAAGCCACCCTTTTGGTTGGAGGAAGCGAAAGAAAAAGAAAACTTTTTCTTTTCTCTCTGTTCTGAGAGCTCGGAACGGGATCACGTTAGCGCCAGCGAGTTATTAGTGAGTGGACAAATTGATTATTAAAAGCTCACGATCCTCAATTGCGCCGATGATACTGCGCTATCTCGAGAATTTACTTTTATGATAAAAAAGACTTCCCTCACCCATCCGTTTTGATTGGCTGATGAATATTTAACTTGAAATTTATTGCATTAGATGTATTTACATGATAGAGCATTTTCGTTTTTTTCTTTTGTTACACAATATGTTCTGTGATGGACTAAGAAAACCTTGGAATACTGTCATTGAGCCACCCAAGTGAACGTCCATCTCTCCGGTAACTTTCAGCTCCGTTTTCAGTTGCCATACATTGCTTTCAGCGTTGTAACATGCGACTGATAATTTTGTAAAAGTATTCCGGCTCACAACGTCTTCTTCCAGAACATACAACTCATCATCGATGGCCAACAGGCCTTGAAATGAGGTCCATCTGTTGAAGCTTTTAATCAGCTGCCATTCGTTGGTTTCTTCACTGTACATTTCACACGTGAGTTGAATTACGTTAGGCATATCACTCTGGGTTCCGGCAATGAATATTTTTCTGTTTACCGCTGCACCACAAGCCCTCTCTCTCGCTACTTGGATGTCCGCCAGTTTGTTCCACTGTTTTCTGCGAAGATCATACCTATCAACATCATTCACGAGCTTGCTTTGATACATTCCAGACCACACCTTACCACTAACGAAATAGATAAAACTATCGTGGACCACAATACTAAAACGGCTTCTCCAATCCAAATAATCAGTCGATAATATGTCTTCCCATGAGTCGGAATCTGGTTTATATTTCGCAAGAACGATGCGGTCTTTTTTGTAAAGGAACGGTCTGTACAAGTTACAAACGAAGGAATCTATTACCTTCTCTTTTGAGAACAAAGCGTACATTTCATCCTCATAAACAAAAAGTTCAAGTAAATCTCTGTTTTCTACAGATGGCATCGAGTTCCAAGCCTTTGAGTGTAGATTATACCATGTGACATCAAGTCTCCAGGATTCATGATGATACGGGACTAGCTCGACTCTTTTTTTAATATACAAGTTATCACGAAGGAAGAAAACACGTTTCCAGTTGATTAAGTATACTGGAATTTCATCAAACTTGCACCACCGATCCTCACGAGGAAAATAACCGACAATCGTGAAATAATCTCCTTTCCTAGAGTAGGTGACCATAACAGGGGTCTCAAGAGACTTTCTGGGCTTGTGACGAAGAGTATCGAAACTTTTATAGTCAATTAACTCGACAGCCTTTTCCACGAGCTCGATACAGTCTTCATTGTCTCTTACCAAATCATTTGTCACGACATCACTGAATAGAAAGTCATGCGATATGTAAACCAGTCGAACGTAACGAAATAACTCGGGAAAATGATGTTTTCGTTTGTTTTTGTCGTGATTAATCCAGGCTAGAATGGTATTTAGCACATCTTCCTCGGCGCTAACATGTAGCTCATCGCTTGAAATCAACATTGCAAGTTCCTCTCTCGACATTTTCAAAACATCTTCACACTTCGTAGAGAGCAATACATTGAAATTTGCAAGGATTGATTTTTTGGTCTTGCATAAAAGTTCCTCACAGTGATATTCGCAAGCAAAACGGAGGATTGAAATACAATTTGAAGTATTCAATTTCTGTACCAGAATCTGCGTAGCTAGGGTCTTCAGCTTTTGAACAAACAAATAATCTGCCATTACAACCAAGTCTCTGGCATCATCTTCATCCAGTATCTGTACATTACCGGTGTAAATAAACTCCAATGTGTTTCTCATAACAGATTCGGTAAACATCTCTAAGCGAACCACTCCTTCTTTGGACTCCTTCATGTCGCTATTCAGCAGCTTTTCAAAGAAAGGACTCGCCTCCGAAAGAGCTTTTCTGTGAGCTTTGAACTCGCCATCTTTGACCACCAAAGTAACATCGCACGGCTGATAGAGGCCATCTTTTGAGATTTCTTCTGCTGGATTAACTTTGTCAGATGTCAGAACAGTGTGAGGAATCGATGCCATTTTTTGTTTGGAATTGATAATTAATTTTTTTGTCGTTCTCTGACTTAATGCTGACTCATAATTGCACTTAGTTTGAATTTTACTCTCAGTTATATTAGCTCGACTCTTCATCCAATTAGAGACAAACGAATGAGTCCCACTGATCCTGATAATGAGATGTACAGGCGCATTGGACGCTTTGACCACACTCAGTCGCCTCCTTCTCTCCTTCCCCTGATTTTGTCGTTTTAACCTCGATTGGCTTCGTTTTATTTTCCGGCTGCTTTGAGCGTTGTGATAAATTCTTTCTCGACCGTTTGAAAAGTGAAAATTTCTTTGGATCGTTATCGGATTTCCTATAGTCCTCAAAAACGAAAAGTCAAAAATGGTCCAAATGATAGTGCCAGCATAAGCTTCGTGTTATAATTAATTTTTTTCTCTCGACCACCACAATACCGTTCACTGCGTTACAATAGAAATTTGAATTCATTTCATGTAGTGCAGTCATGACTCAGCAATGAGCCTCCTGCCCCGAAGCAATGCGTCATGAACATTCAAATATAAACATCAATCGAAGTTAAATTTGCATTCATCTCTCGTGCCGCTTACACTTCCTAACTTAGGATACAACAAGAGTGAAATAAAAAAATGACTCTGAGCTAAGGTTCGCTAAAGGTAAATCGCATTAAAATTATAGTTTTGAGAAGATGAATATTACTTTCCGTCTGGCTTTAGAGAGCGTAGTATGCATCCCGCGATTTTCGTTGGAATTGAATCTTTAAATAATTCTTAACTGGTATAAAAATATCGCTTGTACCATGGTGTGTAAACCTTCAATCAAGTCAATGTTTCATTTAAAATTTTCTTAGCCTTATTAACCTCACCAGCTCAAGTTTTCTTTTGACCCTGACGTATGCATGAAAAGTTTAAGATCAGATAATTCTTTTTTAACCCGTTCAAGAAAAGATTATTCAATTGCGACAAAGTCAGCAACCGTTCATCTACCGTTGATACAATTTGTCTCAACATCATACAACCACTTTTGCCTACTCTAACGACTCTAAAGAAACTCGGTAAGACTAACGAAAACATTTATCTTCAACGCGAAGAAAAAGTATTGAGAAACGTAAGTTAATAAAGTAAACCAAGACATGAACTTCGACGATCTTTTCCTAATGTTTCTTCACGTGATAATTCGCTCGCGGTTTCCTGATTCACTGAAACTTGTTAAGGAGTGTGATTTGTACGGTTAGAAACATATCATCTCAATTTTGTGTTGGAGACAAACTTCTCTTGTCAGTGCTGATTCTTACCTGAATTAAAAATTTGTTTATTTCATGATTAATTGCTGACGCATGACTGCCGAAAAAAGGATTCCTATTCGTCCATTCAGAGATTGATTTGAAAAGGAAAACTTCCGTTTTGGAGTGATGTACATTGAAATAACTCAACAGATTAGTGTGAGGCAAGCAACTGATAGCCACTTAACAGCAGAATAAAGTCACTAGTTGCCATTTTCAACACAGAGCCTCTCCGGGTCCACTATAAGACTAGGATGATCTTTCTCAAAGCAAAGTCTTCGATGATTTGAATAATTGCTAATTTATAATTCCCTTGCATCGTCATTAGCTACCAAACTAAGTAAAAAAATTGACAGAGAAATCAGGCGACCATGGTCTCTTGGAGAAAAGCAGTTCTGAGCTGACAGAAAAACATACATCACTAGTTTATAATAAACGCTACTGCCTCCTAACTGAGGAGGTCGCAAAAGCCAATCCATGCAGTACTGAGAGATTTTACATCACAGAGCCAAACAAGCTATGGCATCATTGGGCTGGTCTTCTTTTTCCGTTGCCTTTACGGTTCAGTTAAAAAGTGAAAAAAAATAAATGATTGTTTGGAGTTTAGATCGGCCTTATGTCAGAAAACTTCTCTTCTGGTTAATTTCTCTTTGTGTCTTGAAGTGTCTTACTCAAATCAAATTGTCCATTAAATCTTTGATGGACAGTTAGCATCCCATGCACACAACATTGCGGCTGCCAGAGTAAGATGTCATTGAAATATTGGCTTTTAATCACTACAACAAGAGCGCTCTTGATCCGTAATATGACTTCGCATTAAAAGCAATTGCAAAAGGCAACAACGCTTTGAAGTAAATTCAAATCATCCAATGACGACGTCTCTCTTTAAACAACCCTTCTTAGGGTATTCTTCATCGAGCTGTGATTGAAAACATTTTTTTTTAATATCCCGAATCTCGGAGTAGAATAAAGTCTTCAGAGTTCAAAATAACAAGCTGAACTAACAGTTATTGTTACTGATGAGTGATTTTTTTAATGGCGCGTGGTTTGTAGCTTGGTACAGTCAGATAATAACAATCAATATTCCTATCATGTATGCAATTTTGACAAAAACTAAAAAAGCTCTTACAAGAAATGAAGCAGGCGCCGGAAAAAAGTAAAAGGAGGAGACGTATTCTGTGTAAGAAGTATTGTCACGATCTGATTGGTGCAAGAGACTATCTCTAATGCCTCGATCTGATTGATGCATGCAACAATACCTCGATGCTGCGATCTGATTGGTGCGAGCATGAAATGATGAGCATGAGCCACTAACTATCATTTTATTTTTTACAGCGGGATGGGGACGTAAAAGGAAGAAGAACACTAAGTGGTCAAGTGAAGCTGAGTCCAAAGTGTGTTTTTTGGTAATTAGTCCAGAAGAGCATGAATGGACGACGATCGGGAATTCCCGAAATGATCTGTTTGCTTGCAGTTTTAGATCTCTTGGAAAGTCATAGAGTCGAATATCTAAGGGGCAACTTATTCAACTGCGTTGCATTAGTTCCGAGAGAAGTCTGTATATTGGTAAGTCGGTCGACATTGTGTCTATGAACCTAAAGAATTTTCTGTCGATGTCGAAGATCGAGGCGTATCCTGAGTGGTAACAGATACAAAACTTTTCAATTTTGAATTATCGAGCCAACCTTTGAAAATTCTTATTGAACAAACGTTCAGTACAGAAGACATCCTCGTTAGGAGTTTGTTCGGGCTCCATCTGTTCCTCTCAAAGTCGTAGTGTTTGACCGTCTGGATTTTCGTGATCACACTTTCAATCAAAGCATACACCTCGTCATCGACAGTCACGAAGTTTATAATTCTATTTGGATAAGATCCTTCGTTGAAGCCTTCGATGAAGTGCCATTCATTTGTTTCTTCATCATAAATTTCACACTGATTCACTTGTGCACCCCTCATAATACCGCCAGAGATGATAACTTTCCTGTTTCCTGCAGCACCACTAGCCCGCTTTCTTGCTATTTGAAGACCTGTTAGTTTTTCCCACTGGTCTGTGTTAAGATCGTACCTGTCCACATCATTCAGAAACTCGCACTCGCGTCCGTGCCATTCTATTCCGCCTATGAAATAAATGAAATTGTTATGGGCCACAATGGTAAAATGCTGTCTCAGATCCAAATGATTGAAAGATGTGACTTCTTTCCACTTGTGTAATTCAGGTTTATATCGCATAATGAAGGAAACATGTTTCTCTTCGGTTCCTTCCTTGGCACATCGTCGACCGAAAAGACGTTTTGAGTGTCTTCTTCCATTTCGAATCCGCCAACCACGATAATGATCCCAACCACATCGTTCCAAGAACAAAGCAAACATTTCATCTTTATTGTTGACAAATATCCTCCAAAGACATGTGTTTCCCTCCGAGACTGGTAACGAGGTCCAAGCGTTCGAGTAGGGATCGTAGCATGACATATGCAGTCTACAGATATCTTGTGGGTATTCAACTGACCCTATTCTTGTGCTGTACAACTTACTATTGCAGGAAAAAATTCGGCTAGCTCTCGATTCTGAAGGCCTCTCGTCACCCAAAGTGTACCAGCTATTTTCACGGGGAAAAAAGCACATTAAATATTTTTGACTGTAAGTGATCAAAACAGAGCTTTCAAAAACCTTTCTAGGCGTGTAATGGAGATTATCTGGGAGATTGTCAAAGTTCTTAGAGTCAAGTGTGCCGATAGCTTTATGAACAAGATCCAGACAACCTTTATTGCCTTTGACCAATTCATTTGTCACGACATCATTGCTCAGAAAGTCACGCGATATGTGAAGTAGTCGAACGTGACGAAACAACTCTGCGAAGTAATTCTGTCGCTTTCTTTTTGCGTGATGAATCCAGGCAAGAATGATGTTAAATACATCTTCCTCGGTGCTGACATGCAGCTCGTCCCTGGAAATCAACATTGTAAGTTCCTTGATCGACATTCTCAAAACATTCTCACGATTACGAGTGAATATGGTAGTGAAATTTGAGAGGGTAAAAGTTTTGGTCTTAGAGACAAGTTCCTCGCAGTGATATTCATCAGCAAAACGGAAAATTGAAATACAATTTGAAATATTACATTTATGAAATAAAACTTGGGCTGCCAAAATCTTCAAGTTCGGTAGAAGCAAATAATCTGCCAGCATAATCAAATCTCTGGCCTCGTCTTCATCCAGTATCTGTACATTACCGGTGTAAATAAACTCCAATGTGCTTCTCATAAGAGAGTCGGTGAAGATCTCCAAGCGAACTACTCCTTCTTTGCACTCCTTCATGTCGCTGTTCAGCAGCTTTTCAAAGAATGGACTCGCCTCTGAAAGAACTTTTCTATGAGCTTTGAACTCGCCATCTCTGACCACCAAAGTA